TAAAGGGTATTTGTATTCCTTTCCTGAGATCTATTCCTTTTCTTTCTCCATTTTTCTACTGGGTTGTTGGCTTTTTACTTATTGATTTACAGGATAAAGAGACTTCTCTTTAAATATTAGGGATATTACCACTATGTTCATGGCCTGAGCTGTAAAAACTTGAAATAATAGAAAATATATATATATTAGTCTCTACCTCTGGTTCCTGGCACAGAGCAGGTAATTTCTTAGGTGATAAGAATACTAGGAGCATCTTTTGTTCTACTGAGGTGACTCTAGGGGTCTCCTGGAGGGCTCCTGGGTGGGGGCTGGTCCCCAAAAAGATCAAGCCATGATTAGAAGCTTAGAATTTTCAGCTCCATCCGCTGCCCTCCAGAGAAAGGTGGGGGGCTGGAAGTGGAGTTAATGATCAATCATGCCTACATGAGTAAGCCTCCATTAAATTCTGATAGTATGGGGTTCAAGGAGCTTCCAGGCTGGCAAACACATCCATACCAGGAGGGTGACAGGGACAGAAGCCCCTGCACTTGGGACCCTCTCAGACCTCACCCTGTGCATCTCTCCATCTGGCTGTCCATCTGTAGCCTTTAACATATCCTTTAATAAACTGGTACACATCAAGTGTTTCCCTAAGTTCTGTGAGCTGCTCTAACAAATTAATCAACCTGAGGAGGGGGTCTATAGCCAATTGGTCAGAAGCACAGGTGATAACCTGAGCTTGCAACTAGCATCAGAAGTCGGGTGGGGTAAATGATGCTTAAAACAAAACACGTAGGTGAGGCCATAGAAACTAGTATCAGTTTTGGCAAAAGGGAGGCCATCGAGGGCCTTTCCAGTGCAGTTTTAGAGATGAGGTGGAGGTGGGCACCTGGTTGGAGTGAGTGGGTGAGGAAAGACAGTGGAGAGTTGTTTGTTTTTTGTTTTTTGTAGTTTTGCTGTTCAGTGGGGCAGAGAGCTGTGGTGCTAGTGAGGTGGGGATATGGGATCGAGGGAGTTTTTTTAATGGGAGCTATAATTCCTGAGAGTGTTTCTATGCTGATATAGGTGGGAGAAATAACGGAGTGGTGACAGAAAAGCTAAGGATGCAGAAGGAGGCAGAGGGAGTAATTTCAGGAGTGAGGCCCTGCTCATCCCTGAGTGAAGGGCAAGAGGGAGTGGGGTCCTGGCCCCCAGAGAGGCCAGGCTTCATCCACTGTGAGCACGGCACACAGCCAGGAAATCGGTGGGTGTGGGAGTCAGTGGCCAAATTCCCGCCTAATGGCTCACTTTTCCTCCCTGCAGTGTGTGGTGAGGGCAAGCTGAGAGGTCTGGAGTAGAAAAAAGAGAGGGAAATATATTAGAATATGGGGAAGAAAACATATTGGGGAAAGTGGCCGCAGAGTGTTGAATGCCCATTTGAGATTTATGGCAAGAACATCAAGGGAAGTCAGCGAAGACAGGTGTACGGTCATCTCCAGCCATGTTCAGGCAAGGCCTGGAGTGGGAAGATAGTACCCGGTCAGGAAGTTGCCAGGCAAAAACAAAGAGGGAGAGGGGCAAGGGGTAGGGTATTTGCAAGAGAGAAACTGTCAGAAGGAACATGGAATCTTAGATGAGTAAAGAGGAAGTCAGGACACAAGGGAAGAAGGTTAATAAAACAGAAAGTGGCAAATGAATCAGAGGTCTTAAGATTGAAGAAATACTGGACTGCAAGCCTGAGCCTAAGTGAGATGGAGGGATTGCAGATAGGGGTCAAACATCAAATCAGAAGGCTTGAAATAAAGGTTCTGGAGATGGTGCAGTTACTGGCGGTGACAAGGTAAAGGACTGACCACAGGAGTGCTGACTGAAATGGCATTTGAGGTCAGGAGCTGAGATCCCAAGATGTTGGATCATGCCTCTGGGCAGAAACAAAATCTAGAATTTATACATTAGGAAAATCTTATGAGCATAGTCTGGTTTAAAGTGTAAGTAAAAATAGATTTTTGAATAAGTGGCTTGTGTTCTGCTTTACTGAAACACACTTAAATGGTGGGAACTATGGGAGAGTGTACTTAGCTGGGTTAGGAAAATTGTATACCAGGAGGGATTTTGGGGGGAAGAGACGGCGGGCTGAGTTTATAATTATTCATAATGGGTGGTACAAGCTGGCTGGGGGAAGAACACTGAAGGATTATGGCCTGTCAAAGTCTGAGCTCACGTTGTTTTGCTTACAAATTACACAACCTTCTTGTTCTTTTACTGGGCCAGCTCTGTGAACATGTTTACAATCAGGCTAAAGAATCAGACCTCCCAGTGACGTTATCAAACACACCCATATGCAATGATGGCCGTAGTAACAAATAGCATGGGTGCCTCTGGAGTTACATATTCTCAAACTCAGTTTCCTAAGCACCTTAGCTGAGGCGGGTTGTGAAACGTTAGGGAGGACTCCGTTTTCCCACACACATTCACGGGAGAAAAGCATCCGGCCATACAGCATTCACAAGGGCTCGTGTGATCCCAGTTGTCCTCCTGGCAGGCGGTCACAGCAGTAAACACCCCAAAATTTCTGCTCTCTTTGGCTTTGGGTAATTTCTGTAATCATGTGACAACGCCGTGGACAATCAGCCAAGCGAGGCCCGGAGGATCTGTGAGCGCTGCTGCGGCCCTCAGTTTCCTATTTAAAGGGGAATGATGTTCAGTGCATTCCTGGTCGGAAGGAAGGTCAGATGCCACAAGAATCAAAACTTGGCTGTCATATCAGTCAGGGTCCAATCAGGAACATAGAAACCACACCAGTTATTTTAATGGAGGGAATTTAATGTAAGAACTGCACAAGTCCAAGGGAAATGCTAAGGAAACACAGAGGCAGCAGCTGAGGGAAGTCGCTGGAAGGGCGGTGTTTAACAAAGGGAAAAGGGGAATTCCTGGAACTCAGACACTTGAAAGAGGAGCCCCAGGGAGGCGGACCTCCGGCCTCAGAGCAAGGAGTACTGGAAGTAGGTGCGGCTTCTTTGAAGAGCACAATAAAGGCTGGTTACCCAAGTGCAACTGCGGGGGATAAGGAGCTGTCACCCTAACAATCAGACGCAGAGAAGCAAACTGCAAGAAGCAATCCCTTCCCTCTTCCCGTTTTGCAGGCTTCCTCTAGCACCCCCTACTGGCAGAGCCTTGCTGAGGCGCCACCTGGCCAAGAGACTGCGCGAGGCCCCCAGCCCAGCAGCGTCGGAAAGGAATACACGTTTCCATATTGAGCTATTACAGACAGTGCTGCTGTGAGCGTTCCTGTTTGTATCTTTTAATGCACTTGTGCACTCATGTTGTGAAGTGTACTTGCTGGATTTAAGAATACAGATATTAACCGTTTGGGTGAATGTGTAGTGGTTTATCATTGTGATTTCAATTGGCATATTTTTAAATACTATTGAAGTTGACCATCTTTGATCGCTTGATACCCTCTTTAGAAAGGAACCTGATTAAAGCTGATCTGTCTTTCCCCTGTTGCTCTGTGGGATTTTTAATATATACTCAATACAAGCCCTTTGGATTGATGTTTGCAAGTATCTTCTCCCAGCTTGTGAACTTGCCTTTTGCTCTCTCTCAATGGCATCTCGTGATGAATAGATGTTCCTAATGTTATTTAACACAATTTACCAATTTTGTCCTTTAGGGTTACTGCTGTTGTGTCTTTTCTAAGAAATACTGCCTTATTCTAGGCTCTGTCTTAAGATTGAAGAAATACTGGACTGCAAGCCTGAGCCTAAGTGAGATGGAGGGATTGCAGATAGGGGTCAAACATCAAATCAGAAGGCTTGAAATAAAGGTTCTGGAGATGGTGCAGTTACTGGCGGTGACAAGGTAAAGGACTGACCACAGGAGTGCTGACTGAAATGGCATTTGAGGTCAGGAGCTGAGATCCCAAGATGTTGGATCATGCCTCTGGGCAGAAACAAAATCTAGAATTTATACATTAGGAAAATCTTATGAGCATAGTCTGGTTTAAAGTGTAAGTAAAAATAGATTTTTGAATAAGTGGCTTGTGTTCTGCTTTACTGAAACACACTTAAATGGTGGGAACTATGGGAGAGTGTACTTAGCTGGGTTAGGAAAATTGTATACCAGGAGGGATTTTGGGGGGAAGAGACGGCGGGCTGAGTTTATAATTATTCATAATGGGTGGTACAAGCTGGCTGGGGGAAGAACACTGAAGGATTATGGCCTGTCAAAGTCTGAGCTCACGTTGTTTTGCTTACAAATTACACAACCTTCTTGTTCTTTTACTGGGCCAGCTCTGTGAACATGTTTACAATCAGGCTAAAGAATCAGACCTCCCAGTGACGTTATCAAACACACCCATATGCAATGATGGCCGTAGTAACAAATAGCATGGGTGCCTCTGGAGTTACATATTCTCAAACTCAGTTTCCTAAGCACCTTAGCTGAGGCGGGTTGTGAAACGTTAGGGAGGACTCCGTTTTCCCACACACATTCACGGGAGAAAAGCATCCGGCCATACAGCATTCACAAGGGCTCGTGTGATCCCAGTTGTCCTCCTGGCAGGCGGTCACAGCAGTAAACACCCCAAAATTTCTGCTCTCTTTGGCTTTGGGTAATTTCTGTAATCATGTGACAACGCCGTGGACAATCAGCCAAGCGAGGCCCGGAGGATCTGTGAGCGCTGCTGCGGCCCTCAGTTTCCTATTTAAAGGGGAATGATGTTCAGTGCATTCCTGGTCGGAAGGAAGGTCAGATGCCACAAGAATCAAAACTTGGCTGTCATATCAGTCAGGGTCCAATCAGGAACATAGAAACCACACCAGTTATTTTAATGGAGGGAATTTAATGTAAGAACTGCACAAGTCCAAGGGAAATGCTAAGGAAACACAGAGGCAGCAGCTGAGGGAAGTCGCTGGAAGGGCGGTGTTTAACAAAGGGAAAAGGGGAATTCCTGGAACTCAGACACTTGAAAGAGGAGCCCCAGGGAGGCGGACCTCCGGCCTCAGAGCAAGGAGTACTGGAAGTAGGTGCGGCTTCTTTGAAGAGCACAATAAAGGCTGGTTACCCAAGTGCAACTGCGGGGGATAAGGAGCTGTCACCCTAACAATCAGACGCAGAGAAGCAAACTGCAAGAAGCAATCCCTTCCCTCTTCCCGTTTTGCAGGCTTCCTCTAGCACCCCCTACTGGCAGAGCCTTGCTGAGGCGCCACCTGGCCAAGAGACTGCGCGAGGCCCCCAGCCCAGCAGCGTCGGAAAGGAATACACGTTTCCATATTGAGCTATTACAGACAGTGCTGCTGTGAGCGTTCCTGTTTGTATCTTTTAATGCACTTGTGCACTCATGTTGTGAAGTGTACTTGCTGGATTTAAGAATACAGATATTAACCGTTTGGGTGAATGTGTAGTGGTTTATCATTGTGATTTCAATTGGCATATTTTTAAATACTATTGAAGTTGACCATCTTTGATCGCTTGATACCCTCTTTAGAAAGGAACCTGATTAAAGCTGATCTGTCTTTCCCCTGTTGCTCTGTGGGATTTTTAATATATACTCAATACAAGCCCTTTGGATTGATGTTTGCAAGTATCTTCTCCCAGCTTGTGAACTTGCCTTTTGCTCTCTCTCAATGGCATCTCGTGATGAATAGATGTTCCTAATGTTATTTAACACAATTTACCAATTTTGTCCTTTAGGGTTACTGCTGTTGTGTCTTTTCTAAGAAATACTGCCTTATTCTAGGCTCATGAAGATATCCTCCTATATTTTATTCTTCTTTTTCTATTTTCCATCTCTTTGTCCAAATGTACTGAATTCTGAGTTAATTTCTTCACATCTGTTTTCTGATTTACTAATTTTGTCCTCAGCAGCTTTTAATCATCCATGGGGTTTCTAATTACAATAGTTTTTAATTTCCACAAATTCTTATTTTTCCCAATTCTGCTTGGTCATTTTTAGCCTCTTGTTTCTACATTGTGTTTTCAAAACACTCTTTATTTCCTTAAACATATGAAACATATTTATATTCCATACCTAAAAATTATAATATCTACAGTCATTGTAAGAGAGATTCCACAGTTCAGTGTTTCTGCTGTCACTTGCTTATGGTGGCATGTTTCCCTCTGCGTTTTACAATTGCTTGCCATGAGCACAAGTTTGTTGCAATTTTATCCACAGGAATCCTTCAAAGCCTGAATTTAAAGAATGTTCTTCAGAGAAGAATTGTACTTGCTTCTGCCTAGACACACTAGTAAAGTGAGACCAGTTGAAACTTTTAGACTTTTTTTTTTGTCCCCTAAAGTTTAAAGGCTTGGAAATCTCCGGGAGACTCCCTCCCACTGCTCTAAGCCAAGGTCTGTTTGAGCAAGTACCATCTCTCTTTTATACACTGAGGGTGTTGCCTTTTGGGAATCCCAGATTTATAACAGGGTCTCTGGCCCAACTTTCTCTTTTGGATAGGCCCTGGGGTTTGTCTCTTGTCCACAAATCTGACCTGTTAAAGCCCTGGCCTTCGGAACCCACAGCCTGCAGATATTGCCAAGGTAATGCTGGGCCTTTGTGCTGGCTTACTGGTTTTATGTTTTCTTATCCCTTCTCTTACTCCTTTCCTTTCCTTTTTTGCTAGCCCAGTAATGCATTTAAAAATGTGTTTTTAATATTTTACCCATCATCTTGAGTGTTCTGTACCATTTGTCCACCATATTGTCAGAAATAGAAGTCCATTGATTTTTCTTAGAAAATATGGCACTCATGCAGGAGTCTTAGAAGGCAGGCAATTTCTTCTTCAGCAGTCAGTCACGTGTGTTTTACAAACCCAAGTTTTTTTTTTCCTGCTCTGTTTTCTTCATGTTTGTTTATAGTATCTCTGGGGAAATGCCTTGTATAAATTGTGTAGTTGCCATAACTGAGCAAAAATTGAATGAAAGACCTATAAAAACAGCAATTATTGTACTAGGTAATGAGACAATCACCCAGGATCACATGCAGTTGGGAGAAAACAGAGGCTGTGGGGGAATCGATGAACTCCACTGATGCCCTCCTATCATGATCAGGGTCACCTTCTTTCAAAGTGTTGCAACTGAGGAAGAGTTAGGAGTTGTTTCAAACAAGATGATCTCCCTGGCTTAGGTGTAAATTTAAGTGGAGAAAATTCTGATAGAGCTAGAAGGGTATTTCAACATGGATGTTTTTGTCAGATTATATATTGTGGGTTGCCGAGTAATCCAGTTCTGACCTCGTACACTAAAAAATAAAAATAAATCCCCCAGTAAGGGTGCTGTGGCATAAAGCCCCAGCAATCTATGTCTTCCTTAGCTGGAAGGAACACTTTTCTTCTCCTTAGAAGAGTGTTAGGAGGACCAACATATAATGATTGACTAGGGTTTTTATTCTTTCTGGGCGGCTACGGATGGCTCTGGATTCTTTTAATACTCACAAAACCAGCCCCTTTCTGTTCTAGGTCTTAAATAAGCATGGCATTAATAACACAACCATTACTTTACTGGTAGTGTTTCTAATGGCTGGTTTCTTGGGAGGACTGGCAACATCAAGATCTCTTCTACAAAGGGACACTAACTTTCAAAATGGGCAATCCAGTCTTTTCCCTCAACTCCCGCCATGGTTAGCACAAACAAGAACCCCACGAAAATCTGTTCACTCTGGGGCCTGTTGTGACCAGAATGCAGCCTAGGATTTCATAACTTTTTAATAACACCATTTTTCTCCATATACAGTTCTATCTTTCAAAGGCACAATAGATAATTCATTTTATAGTAACTTATGAGGGTTTCACCTGTCTGGGTCAAAAGCAAATAGGTCTGTCCTGGTCTGCCCCTTACGTCCAGGGAAATAATGGTGCTGGCATGCTGTTGCCAATAGACACTTGGTGAGGCTGGTCCAAAGAGAGCCTCACTTGCTTGCCAGTATTACAGCTGTGTTTGCGGGGCACACTGAAGCAGCCTTGGCTGGGAAGGAAGAGGAGCTTTGCTGACAGGCACATCCCACATCTGGCAGCCCTCCCAGTGTCAGGGCCAATGGCTTCTTGCGATGAGCTGTAGCCCTTCCCAGCTGGTTTAGCACATGCCCATGCCTCAGCAGCTATAGCTGAGCTTTGCTTCAATTTCTGGCTTATGCTACTGCACTTCTTCTCAGAGCCTATCAGATCTGGACAGTTTTATATTCATCTGTCAGGAGTGCATCAATTATGTCTGGCTCCCTCCCCAAGCCCTGTCATCTCTACAGAGAGTGTACCAGTATTTTCACTAGAACTCCAGGGTTCCCGGGGCTCTGCTAGCCACTGTGCAGTTAGCTGTGGTTTCTGGGATGTGTGCAAAGGATCTATTTTTATCCAAATTGGACCCAACCTAGAGGTTCTGACCCACCAAAGTCTTGATACAACTGTTGTCATTTAGGCCAGGGTGATTTACTCAACTTGTTTTTCTCCTTGCAGCATCCTTAATGTGGAGGATTGTTTCTGTTCTTGATTACTGGATCATAATCTTTCATAATTTTTTCAGGTTAAAAAAGCCTGTTGTCTCTGACTCTTTATAACTTCTCCATTTATTCAGTGGCATTGGTGCTTAGTTCCTGCTTCTGTCCCCACTAAAATCTTGACAGTGGCTGGTGATCTTGATCTGGGCTTGTGCAAGAGTCCAGCAGGGGTGGGGGGGACCAGGCAGTCTGCTCACTGGTGAGGGGGTGTGAGATGGGGGCACAGTGAAATAGGATGGGCTGGGGAGGGTGCTCAGGAAATCTGGAGTCTGAGGCTCAGGGAATTCTGGGCTCTTGGGTGTCTGTAACAGCCAGGCTTCTTACCTGAGCTCTGGGAGGTGGGCAGGGTGGGGGGCTCCGTGGCCCAAGAGCAGACAGCTTGCTGGGTGTGCCCTGCTTCGCCGGTAGGAGATTCAAGCCCCTTTGCCTTCAAGGGGAATGCGGGGCCGGACCCTGAACCCTCGGACCATTTACCCCGTGTTGCCCAGACTCTGTGCCCTCCTGCCCCTGTCCTGGCAGAAGCGACTTCACTGCAAAAGCTACAGCTAGGTAGCGCCTCTTGGCCCACATGGCCCCCCTCTCCCCTCTCCAGGCTGCTTACTGCCAGACCTTCCAGGTTCCCTCCACCCCTTTCCTTTCTCCTCCCCGAGCACCCCTTTCTCTGATAATCCGCCTGAGCCATGAGCCTGCACCGTCCCACGGCAGCTGCCCAGCCCCTCCCCACGGGCAGCGCTGGCTTGGTGGGCAGAGGGGTCTCAGCCCGGAGAGGGAGAGACTCAGGGCTGCTGGCCTCCACCCGCCCAGGGCTGTGCTCCCTGCCTCCCTGCCCCCTGCCGAGCTGCCGTCTAGCTGGAGACCCTTCACCACCCTTTGGCTGCCCTTCAGCCCGCGGGCTTCCTTTGCTCTGTGCTCCCCAGGAGCTGTCCGTGGACACCACCACGTTTCCTGAGAAGATGAGAAACGGGATGCTGGGGGGCAGCAGTGGCGAGGAAGCCATGGTGGTGCCTGAGGCAGCCGCAGCCTGCCAGGGGAGCAGCCCCACCTTCATCGTCCAGGAGAGCTCACTGTGATGCAGACGCGGGGCCCAGGCCTCTGTCCACATGCTGCCAGGCCTGCCCCCTCACCCCAAGCCCTTTGTCCCTGGATGACCTGGGCCTGGTCACTGTGTCTGTCCTAGGCAGGGGGTTAGAGCTGTCACTCACAGGGTCGTGGGGGTGAGGTAGGAACATTCCTTGACCATCACCAACCTATTCTACAGCAGAGACTGTAAAATTTTTGGCCTCAGAACCACTTTACATTCTTAAAAAAGTAGAACTTTGAAGAGTTTTTGCTTATGTGGATTATTTCTATTGATATTTAACATATTAGAAATTAAAATAAATTAGAAACTAAAATTAAAACATATTAGAAATTAAAGTAGGATTTTAAAAATATTTATTTCAAATAAGATTAATTAACCCATTATATGTGAATGTATGTTATGTTTATATGAAAAATAATTATTTTCCATATTGGAAAATATTTAGTGAGAAGAGTCACATTGTTTTACATTTTTGCAAACATCTTTAATGTCTGTTGTAATAGACAGCTGAATTCTCCTATCTGCTTCTACATTCTCTCTGTAGTTGTAATATCACATGTCATATGGCTTCTGGAAAATCCCATTACACTTGTAAGAGAATAAATGTGAAAAAATGCTAGCAGCATCTTGTATTATAAAAATAGTATTGGCCACTTAAATCACTGAAAGGGTCTCAGGGACTCACAGACTTCCCAGATCACACAGTTTTTTATATCCACTTCACCTATTTTGCCCATCTCCCCATTCCCCTCCCCTCTGGCAACTACCAGTTGGTTCTCTATATCTATGAGTCTGTTTTCTGTTTTGTTCATTCATTTGTTTTGTTTTTTAGATACTACATATAAGTGAAATCATACAGTATTTGTCTTCCTCTGATTTATTTCACTTAGTATAATGTCCCCTAGGTCCATCCAGGTTGTCACAAATGGCAGGATTTCCTTCTTTTTTATGGCTGGGTAGTATTCCATTGTATATATATATACCCTATCCTCTTTATCCGTTCATCTATCAATGGACACTTAGGTTGCTTCCCTCCCTTTCTCAAATTAGTTTTTCCTTTTTTGGGGGGTGGGGGTAAATACCCAGAAGTGGAATTGCTAGATGATATGGTATTTCTGTTTTTTAATTTTTTTTTTGAGGAAATTTCATACTGTTTTCCATAGTGGCTGTACCAAATTACATTGTACACCAACAACAATGTAGGAGGTCTCCTTTTCCTCCACATCCTCCCCAACACTTGTTATTTCTTGTCTTTTTGATACTAACCATTCTGACTGGTGTGAGGTGATACCTCATTGTGGTTTTAATTTGCATTTCTCTGATGAATAGTGACGTTGAGCATCTTTTCATGCGTCTGTTGGCCCTCTGAATGTCTTCTTTGGAAAATGTCTAACTAGGTCCTCTGCCCACTTTTAAATCAGATCATTTACTTTTTTGATCTCGAGTTGCATCTGAGACCACACTTTGAATACTTCTGATCTAGAGCAAACTTTCTGTAAAGGCTTTACAGTCTGTTGCAGCTATTCTATTCAGCTGTGGTATCAGGAAAGCAGCCATAGGTGATATGTAACAAATGGGTGCAACTGTATTCCGATAAAAATTTATTTTCAAAAATAGTGAGGGTGGGAGTGCTGGATTTGGCCCACTGGTCACAGCTTCCCAACCTCTGATCTAGAATACCAGGCTTGCAGGGGACCTGGGTTTAGGGCTGGTGCCACAGAAGAGAGAGGGCAATGCCATCTGACATCCTAGGTAGAGGAGTAAAAAAAGAAATTTCCGGAGAAGGCTAGATCTTCTATTTCTGATTACTCTAGTTCCCAATTTGCTAAATCTGCAGTCTCCACCTTATCACTTAGATGTTCCTTTCGCAGTACTGCTCCTCCCACAGCCCATCTAAGCCTCTGCCTTCAATCCAGCTGCTCATCAGAAGGCACCTTAGTGTCATTTTGTCATCTGTGCTCCTGTACCCTTTTGGAGCCCCTATTCCCAGGAAACAAAAGCAGTCTTTGAACATGAATCTCAGTTGTGTCCAAATGCTCTCATCCACCCCATGTCCCCTAGCCCTGGTGAGAATAAAAAATCTCCCAGTGAGCAGGTGTTTTTCTTCCTCTGCTGCGAAGGCGAAGGGGGATTACTCCTGGTTCTGGTTCATTTGTGGCTACAAGTCTCCAACCTGACATTTCCTCTGCCTTTGTTTGGCTCTACCTGCCTTCTCTCAACCCTTTGCTCCCTGGCCTGACTGTTAGGGGTGTTTTCTGGCTGAGGATCACAGGTTCTGGACCCCACAGGCCTGTCCTGGGCACTAAGGAAATAGCTTTGCCTGGGCAGAGCCTGAGGCAGCTGTAGAAACTCATAATCATGGTACTTGTCCTTCCCCAGCTCTCTACCAGCTTCATTCTACTTTTGCCCCCCTTGTCTCCTCTACTGGCATAAAGTGGCCAGCCCTGTGGGGTCTATATTAAAAGGCTAGAAAAAGGCTGCAGTCTGAGGGTGGGGTGGGGCAGGCTCCAAATCAAAGTCTCCTCGGTTATCCGGAGAAGTCCCATGCTATGGGGAATCCCCAGTGCATACCCAAAGCCAGATTTCCCAGTTCCAGCTGTAGAAAAAGATAGTGTGCCACCAGCTCGGGAGGAAATTATCTGCTCCTCTTCCTACCACCATTGAACTCATCCCGGAATACACTGTTATTTGGCTTTAAAAATAGAACATTCCAGCTGGACTTTTATGGTCTTGTGAAGAACACTGTGCACATGGCCACCCACACCTGGTCTCTGCCCCTGCCTGGCCCCGTCCAGCTGCCCAGAGCAGCTCTGCACAAACTCTCCAGGCCCCTCAGCACAGACTTGGTAGATTTATGAGTTCAGCCTTGGCTGAGGCCTTCTCCCCATGGCTCCCAGCCACAGTCCAGCTGCTCTCCCACATCCATGGATGCAGCCATGACTGGGACGTTCTGTGCCTCCACCCCAGCTTGCTGAGTCACCCCCTTAGCCCCCTCTTCTTGCTTCCTTGGACACCCCTGTGGAGGAACCAGACCCCCAGCACTCACAGCCTGCCCAGAACCTCATTTATTTTCATGACAGCAATGGTGGCTCTAAGGCTACCCCTGTTGGGACTGTAGGCAGCCTGGCCCATCCCCTTCTGCTCTGAGACCCTGAAGTTTAACAAAAAGATGGTTTCTTATCTGTCTGGACTTCAAGTACTTGGTTTGAAGCTAAATCTGATCTGGAAAATTACTTCAGTAGGTGCAGAGAATCTATACCTAATTAATCCTCAAATTATTTCTTCATAGACAGATTCCACCCAAACTCTATCAGGTTTCTGGCACCCCATGGCAGGACTTAGGGAGCATCTGGGAGGCCTGTGCCTGTGGGAAGGAGCTGGCCCTAGGAGCTCATTTGTAGACAAATCGTAGAAATAATTGCAGAGCCAGTAAGGCTGTAGGCTAAAATCATACAAGGAACCCACAGAACCCAGGCCTATCTTGTTTTTCCTGGAGGTTAGGTTTCTAACATAATGGAAAGAAGAGACTAATTATCATCTCCTGTAAAAAGATATACATTCTCCTTCTATAGTCCTTCAAGGATGTAATAGGGTCTACCAATATCCTTTATATGCAAGGCCTTAAGGTGCTGTCTGGTTCAGTTCAGGTCGACCTGCCTCTAGCATAAGATCATCTCAAACTAGGCAGCTGGGACTCTCTGAAAGTTTCTCCGGAAGCTGGAATGTAAGCAATGTAAGCTTTATGGCTTAACCTGTAAATATAACTAATTTCAAGAAAAGAGTGGAGGACTGCTGGACCCAGAGAGAGGGAAATATGGTGATGAGGGGCAGCTGGGAAGACTGTAGTGCAGAGACAAGAATCCTAAATTCCTCCTTGTCTTTGGGGAAGCATCTTGTGGCACAGTAACAAAGCATGTTCCCTTTCTCAGTCTCCCCTCTGCCTATGTGACCCCACCCAGCTCGGTTCACACTCACAGCTGCTGAGGCCTGTCTGGCCTTTACCTTTCCCATCAGCACCCATGGTGGCTGCTACCCTAGGCCCCTACCTCTGCACCTGTGCAGCAATGTTTGCTGGAACCTTAGGGGAGAAAAGCAAGGGGCAGAGCCCTAACCCAGCTTCCAACCTTATCAAACCCTTTCCTCTTGTAGCTGCCACAGAAGAGCAACCAGGGTGTCAGCCCCTGGGTGCAGGGATGAAGATTTGCTCCCAGGAGCTCCTGAGGACTCTGTATCACAAAGGTGCCCACCGCTTTGCCTGGTCTGCGTGTTGGAGCCCGTGTCAGATTGGATGGGTGAGTCCAAGAGAAGACAGGCAGGGCCTGGGGAGCATCCAGGTCCCTAAGCTTGAGCTGCAGTCTAGGACAAATGGGTGATTGTGAGGGTCATTTGTCATCAAAAGCTGATGAGGGTGGCCTGGTGGGAAGGAGAGCGTCAGCGTCTCCAGAGACTCGGGGCCCAGCCTCTGCCTCCTTCATTCTTTGGCCTGAGGTGGTGGCTGTGGCGGAGTCCAGACCAGAGCCCAGGCCTCCGGCATAGAGACGAGATCGCATCGGCCACTTCTGTAAGACATGGGGATGAGAAGTGAGTAGTGCTCACTACTGCAGCCCCTCATAGTTCTTGGCACCCAAAACTTGGCCTTCCCCACCCGTTTCCTGAGGTCCTTTCCTACCCTACCTGCTCTGATAGTGGTCTCGGGCTCAGACCACTTACGGCCCCACACATTCTCCTTTCCACCTGAGCTTGGCAGATGTGAGGAACCATGGACCCAGAGAGGAGCCCCCACAGTGAGGATGGAGGTGGATGGCAGAGCTGGCAGCAGCCAGGGGGCTGTGCAGTGGGGAGGTTCCTGACACCAAACAAGTCCTGACCTCCTCTTGTCCAGCCCCTGGCTCAAGTGCCTCTGGCCCCAGATGTTAGTGCTCCCCACTCCCTCTAAGCTGGGGATTGTCTATCTTTCCAACAGAAGCATGGACAGTCCCAGAAAATGCCTTCTTCTTGACAGCCCCTGCCCCTGTGGCCAAGGGGCATGGCTCCTGGCTAACTACCCCACTGTACCAAGCTGTTGGAGGCTTAGACCTCACCTGGCCCTCATTCTCCAGCATATTTACCATCACTTCCTACATGCAAGGGCCTTACCTTGACCACAGTTTTGCAGCTAAGGAAATTGCTGTGCCACCCCAGATGCCACTGTCAGCATTTCAGAGCTGCCCCCATTTTATCTCAAATTCTTGCATTTTAGCTATATTTGCATGAAAGAAAAAAATCTCAAGTTTCAAGACATTTCAGAACCTGATATTTAGGGGAGAGAGGTGGTAAAAAGTATTCTCCATAAAAATAAAGTTGACCCTATTACAATGCTATCCTCAGAAGGCCAAGATGGCCCTTCTTCCATAACACAGTTACACTCTGCAGCCAGCAACCTACAGTGTCGTGGCCTGGGTCTGCTTGGTGGCTGCAAGGGTGGGGTCTGAAGTCAGACACTATTGGGTCCAAACCTCATTTAATCACTTACTCTCCCTGAGCTTTGCTTTCTCATCTGTAAAGTAATCCTCATTTGGTTCTTGTGTGGAGTAAAAGATAAAAGTGTACTAAATACTTAGCCCAGCTCCTGGCATAAGTTTAGTGCTCAAATGTTAGCTATTTTTGCAGTGATGATTATGGCAAATTTTACTTTTCATTCACGATCTCACTTCATGCCTCGGAAGAGAAGGCTCCTATTATCTTCCTGTTCACATGTACTAGAGTTGAGGTTCAGGAAACATAGGTGGTGGTCTGGTAAGTGGTGTCTGCAGGAAGCCCTCCCTCCCCCCTGACGCCTCCCCTCTCCCTCTACTGTTGCTCCACCCCCTCAACCCCCTGCCCTTGGTTGCTTCTAGAGTGATACTTTCTTAGGCTGAAGTCTAGAGGACGCCAAGACATTGTCTGATAAGGTGTTGCCCCCCGGAACCTAGTCCCTTCTGAGTGCAGTTTCCTTTCCCAGGTCCCAGCGCTGGAACTTGCTCCTCTACCCTCCCTGCCACTGGGCACCCCAGAGTCTTGGGGCCTCTGTGAAGTTCCCTCCTCTTGGAGGAAACACATTCTCATGAAGTTATTTCCAATCACCACCTCCACCAGCCCCATGAGAAACCCAGGGTCAGCCCTGCCGCAAGAGCCAGCCTTAGCTCCTCTCCCTCTGAGACCATCCCAGTGTCAGCTCTGTCAGGGCAGGGGCCGCGTCCAGAGTCCCTCCATCCACTTCCCCTGCTCCGAGGCACTGGGCCCATGGCCTACCTTGAGAGGGTGCAAGTAGCGAAGTCCACGCAGGAAAGGTGGCCGGGCGGGGCCAGGCAGTTCGTGGCCAAGCGTGCGGGTGAGGTGGGCTATGTAGCTGGTGGCCAGCACCAGCACGTCCAACTTGGAGAGCTTGGTGTCAGGCGGCACAGCAGGCAGAGCAGCCTGCAGGGCCAGGAAGGCCTGGCGCAGGGTCCTCACGCGGCTCCGCTCGCGCGCGGCGTTCTCAGGACTGGCCTCACTCTGCACGGAGGACCGCAGGTGAGCGGGGCTGGCCAAAACCCCGTCAGCCTTTGGCCTCTAAGAGCTTTCTAGAGTGAGGTCTCCTGCCGGTCATCGCGCACTGAGCAGCAGAGACCAAATGGCCTCACACATTCTCTGGCTGCTCTCAGCACTGCCCTGTTTTACAGCTGGGGAACTGAAGAGAAGGCCCTGCTGGCAGCAGGTTGGCTTGGTCAGAAGGTGAGAGTCCTTTACTCTTTCTAACCCTGCACTGTGCCTCCTCTGAGCCCTTGCTCTGTCCACACCCCAGTATGAATCCTGCTTATCAGGGTGCCCTGGGGCCACAGCAGCACAGAGCGGGGGGCCTGCTCTGTAGGGCTGACCCTTGGCTCCGCCACGTCCTGAATGAGGAGGCAGCTGCAGTAAAGAGGAAAGGACACCATACAGGGGGTCAAAACACACAGGCTGAAGTCCTGGCCCTGCCACTGCCGGCTGCCCTGGGACCTTGGGAAATTCACATCACACCTCAGTGCCTCGGTTTCCTCAGGAGAAGTGAGTTGGGCCAGCTCTCTGAGCCACGCTCTAGTTAAGGCCAGCTCTAACTCATCCTAGCCACCCACGCATGGAGACTTGGAGTCGAAGGGGCGAGGGTCCCTCTCTTGGCAGGGCGGTAATACTGAGGCTCAGCCGCCAGAGGTGACATCTCAGCTCCTCTACCCCGTGCCTACCCGAGCAGCCCCTGCAGGCCCAGTGTTCCTTACCCTGCCACGGGCCAGGCTTTCGGGCCCGGCCCTGCTGGGGCCAGGGGCAGCTCTGCTCCGCCTTTGGTTGCTCCAGCTCATCTCTTCCCATGTGGCCTGCCTTGTCCTGCTCAGGCGGCTCCTCTTCCCGTCGCCGCCGCCTGCTAGCAACCGCAGCTTGGCCCTCGCCAGGTTCTGCCCCACTCCGGGCATGGCTTGTCTCCCTCTGGCCTGTCTCTGCAACACGCCCCACGCCTGGGGTGTGGTGCCGCAGTCCCCAGGGCAGGAGCACAGAGTCTGAGGGAGCCCTTGGCTCAAGCTGGCTGGGGCAGGCTGGCCAACCAGCCAGCAGTGTCCATATCTGAGGGAGCTGGCGCCAGCTCAGTCCTGCTTTGCTCCTTGTTCTGGGAAAACCGCCCACCAGCACAGCCCCCGCAAAGAGTCTCCTGCCTGCCTCCTAATCAGTTGGGGGTGGCGGGGGGGTGGGCGGTTCTGGATACTGGGAGTGGCCAAGCCCTGGAAGGAGGCCCCTGATGAAGAAGGCAGGAGGATGGTGGGACGGGATCTTCTTTCCTGGAGCCTTGCCCGACCGTGACAGTGGTCCTGTGATAGACCTGCAACTTCTGCTGTGGGGCTCAAGTCCATGCAAAGGCCCTGAACCTCTTCTCTGTGCCAGCATGCCTGCACACATCCTTGAAAGGACCTTTCCTCCCCTTGCCAGTGAATGTGACCTTCCAGTCACAGGGTGCCACATCCCCCAAACACACCACCTATTTCCCACCCAGTGCTTATACTTGTACCTTTCCAGCCCCCTGAATACCTTCTTCCAGCTCTGCCAGGGAAATGGCTGTCTACCCTTCAGGTGATGCCCTTCATTTGTGAGGATTTCTTTAAACCCCATGGAGCCCAGAGCCCATCTCTCCCTCTGAAGACATGGATTTAATTGAATTGGTACTCCCATTGATGCATGACCACACCTGCTAGTTTCCTGGCAGTTCAGTGTTCTTGGAGCACTATGTGCCAGGCACTGTGCTAAGAACCTGATAGGTATTATTTCTCAAAACAACCTTATAAGAAAAAAGAGACTCTTATGTCCTCATTTTACAGATGGGAAAACTGAGGTATCTGGAGATAAAATAACTTGTCCAATGTCAAACATCAAGTAAGTGATGGGGGTGGAATGAAAACCCAGCAGTTAGTTGGACTTGGAAGGCTGCCCCTGACCCTGTGCTGTCCTGCTTTGGCTGAGTTACTCACATGTCTGTCTCCATGCTAGACGTGAGGTCTTTGAAGGCAAGGACCAGGATGTTTGCTGAGTTGCATCATATCCTTCACACACTGGTAGGTGGAGGCAGGCTGATGGAAGAGCAAGTCTGCCATAGTAGCCCCTGCCTGCCCTTGAGTTTCAACCTCTGCCTGTAGCAGAATCCATTTTGTGTGTCCTTGTCCCCCAGTCTTGAACTCCAGGGGAGACAAAATAGGAAATGGGAAAGTACAGAGAGGACAGAGAAACAAAGGTGGATGTACAGACAGTGAGAGACACCTAGCCAACCAGAGAGAAAGGAAAAAAGAAGACAAAAACAGCCCAGATGTCCATCAGTAAGGAAGTGATGAATAGATTTTGGTATATCCGGACTATGGAATGATGCACAGTAATGAAAGAATAAGACAGGTTCTGTGTGGTGACATGGTACAATGTTCCAAGATGCACACTTAAGTGAAAAAGCCTAGTTTAACAAAAGCAAAAATGAACAAATGGGACTACATCAAACTAAAAACTTCTGTACAGCAAAGGACACCATCAGTAGAACAAAAAGGCATCCTACAGTATGGGAGAATACATTTGTAAATGATATACCGATAAGGGGTTAACATTCAAAATATTTAAAGAGCTCACATGCCTCGACACCCAAAAAGCAAATAACCCAATTAAGAAATGGGCAGAGACACTTCTCAAAAAAAAAATGCCTAGTTTAGATCAATATGTATAAGATCCCAGCCAGGATCAAAACCACTAAAAAAAAAGCTGCAAGTGGTAAGGTTTATGTGCTTATACCAATGTATAGAACAAACCTGAAAAGTTGCATTGCAAGTGTGTGTGTGTGTGTGTTTACTTCAGATGCAGAGAATTAAAAATACTCAATTCATGGCACACTGTTGTCTGTGGTTCACACAGGGCCTCTTGTTAGCCTCCCCATTCCCCCACCACCTCCCTCCCTCCCTTCCTTCCTTCTTTCCCTCCTTCCTTCCTTCCCTCCTTCCATCTGTTGCCTTTATCCCATCCCCATTATTCTTCCTATTATAGGTAACCACTCCGAAGTGTTTAATGTTTAGTCTTTGGCTAGTATGTGTGGTGATTTAAAAATACATACAAATTCTTTGACACACCTCTCTAAAAGCTGGAGGCTAACCCCCTCCTATGAGTGTGGGCAGGGCTTAGGGACTTGTTTTAACAATAGAATGTGGCAGAAGTGCCTGTGCGTTACTTCTGAAACTAGGTTATGAAAGACACCGTAGCATCCTCCTGGGATCTCTCAGATCACCGGCTGGGGGCAGCAAGCTGCTATGTCATAAAATGTGCCATTTTAACCATTTTTAAGTAAATGTTTCAGTGGCATTAATTACATTCACCCTGCTGTGCAAATGCCATCCCCATCCATCCACAGTACATTTTTTCATCTTGCAAAACTGCAATTCTATACTCACTAAACAGTAACTCACCATTCCTCTTACCCCCAGAACCATCACTGAACTTCCTGTTTTTGTGAATTTGATTATTTTAAGTACTTCATTTGAGTAGAATCATACTGTATTGGTCCATTTGTGATCAGTTTATTTCACTTAACATGTCCATGAGGGTCGTCCATGTTGCCGCATGTGTCAGAATCTCCTTCTTTTCAAAGGCTGAATAATATTCCATGGTATGTAGATAACACATTTGTTTATCCAGTCATCTGTCAATGGATATCTGGGTTGTTTCCATCTTTTGGCTTTTGTGAATAATGTTGCTATGAACTTTGGAATACATATATTTCTTTGAGACTCTGCTTTCAATTCTTTTGAGTATATAACCAGAAGTGAAATTGCTCGGTCATATGGCAATTCTATTTTTTTTTCTTTTGAGAGGCCATCTCTCATATTTATTGATCAAATGGTTGTTAACAACAATAAAATTCTGTATAGGGGACTCAATGCACAGTCATTAATCAACCCCAAGCCTATATCTCAACAGTCTCCAATCTTCTGAAGCATAACAAACAAGTTCTTACATGGTGAACAGTGCAAGGGCAGTCATATCACAGAAACTTTTGGTTTTGATCACGCATCATGAATTATAAAAAATCAAGTCAGATATGATTATTCGTTTGATTTTTATACTTGATTTATATGTGAATCCCACATTTCTCCCTTATTATTATTATTTTTAATAATATGCTGTCTAATTTTTAATGTTTGATTTGTTGAGGAACTGTTTTGTACAGTAACTGCACCATTTTACATGACCAGCACAAGGGCTCCAATTTCTCTACATCCTCAGCAACACTTGTTATTTTCTGTTTTGGTTTGGTTCTACAATTGCCATCCTAATGAGCGTGAACCTATGTTTTTTAAGCCTCCACTTCATTAGTTTTTAGGTTACATTTTCATTTTCTTCCTTCTCACTTCTTTAATTTTTGTCCTAATGTTCATTTCCCAACTTCTCAAGAAGAAAGCTTAGTTGGTTTGTTTAAAGTTTATTGTTTTGTTAAATGATAAGAGGAAAACAGAACAAGAAGACAACCAAATTTTTTACAAAAGTACAGCCTCAAAAATACATTAAGCAACAACTGATAGAAATGCGGGAAGAAATAGATAAACCAATAATTAGAGTTGATTTTAACATACCCCTTTCTGAAACTGATGGAGATTAAATAGGTATACAAAAGCAGAAGTACTGAATTATAATTAATAAACTCAAGATAGTAGATAGATCCAAAAGTGGAGGACAAATAGTGGACATCCGAGAGTGAAAATGGAAGCATGTTGAAGCCAACTTTTAAATTTTACTTGGCATACTTTTGTATTGTTTGGATATTGTACAATAGAATTTATCTGTGTATTATTTGTATATTTCAAAGAACAAAAAGACATAAAAGGCAAAAAAGCAATATGGTTTAATCAACCAGCTCACTGTTTCCCACCACAACACTCTGTCTAAGTCTTGATGAAATCAAAGTACATGGAGATTATCATAATACCAAGGCTGGAAAAACTCATTTACAAAGTAGGAAATAAGAGTAATGTGGGAAAAGTTATGTGATACATACTCAAAGATTTTTTTAGGTACCTGTTAGCACTTGGGGAGAAGGCACATTGCATTGCTGAACTGCAAAAGCCACTCACAGTGCGTCAGAGCACAGTGCAAATTTTAATTCCCATCTAGCAAGTAGCTAGTTTGAGAGAATGCATCAATCAACTTTGGAAGAATAAGAAAAGGAGAGTTGCACCGACAAATCTAGTAATACTCATCCCACCACTCTTCAGAAAAGACAGAGCTTTCCCAACAGCCTTTGAGTATTCCTATTGAGATGAACAAAACTAACTCTCTTAGTTGGGTGCTATTAAACAATCAGTTTATTAATTTGCCCAACTTCCTTGTTCTGAGACCATGCATCAACCATCTTTCTGCCTCCCAAGCAGGTCTGGGTACATGAGTTGAGAATACTGATGATCTTGAAAGCAATAAGTCCATCTCTGCAGCTATGATTTCTCATGGGAAATCAATGATATTGATTCTATTTACATTTTGACTTTCCAAAGAGCTAGACTATAGAAAGAGAGTGTACTAATTATTTCCTGTCTGTGTGAGCTACTTTTCCAGGGTAAATTTATAAATTGGCTTTCTGGCATGACCTCAGGCTGTTGTGTACTAATTGACATGGTCAAAAGCATATTTCTTATCCTGGAAAGTGAAAGCCCAGATACAACTACCTTCCCTGAACAGCATATATGCCACTTCCAGATGGCTGTATGTTCTCTGCAACCCATCATGGCTATTGTGCTTATCCGTTTCCTTTCTAAGAGCTCACATACATTCTGTTCAATAATCCAGTTTAAGATTATCTTGGCAAGGAACTAGAAACTAGCTGATTTGAGATTCTAGAATTTCTTTTCCATTTTTGAATACTTACCTATCTGCAGCTTATTTTGCATATTTACCCATCTGACACCTCTCTTATAATCAATTCTCCAAGAAAACTCAAGGGACAAAAAGTGTCTTTGAGGAGGTAATTGCTGAAAACTTCCCCAATGTGGGAAGGAAATAGTCTCTCAGGCCATGGAGGTACACATATCTCCCAACACAAGGGACCCAAGGAAGACAACACCAAGACATATAATAATTAAAATGGCAAAGATTAAGGAAAGGACAGAGCATTAAAAGCAGCCAGAGAGAGAAAAAAGATCACATACAAAGGAAAACCCATCAGCCTACCATTAGACTTCTCAACAGAAACCTTACAGGCCAGAAGGGAGTGGCATGATATATTTAATGCAATGAAACAGAAGGGCCTTGAACCAAGAATACTCTACCAAGCAAGATTATCATTTAAATTTGAAGGAGGGATTAAACAATTTCTAGATAAGCAAAAGCTGAGAGAATTTACCACCCACAAATAGTCTCTACAGTGTATTTTTAGGGACTACTATAGATGGAAGTGTTCCTAAGGCTAAATAGCTGTCAGCAGAGGAAATAAAACCACAGTAAAGAAAGAAGACCAATTAATCACTAAGAAGATGCAAAATCAAATCAACTACCCCCCTAGTCAAGGGATAGACAAAGAGTACAGAATATGATACCTAATATACAAAGAATAGAGGAGGAAGAAAAAGGAGGAAAAAACAGAACCTTTAGATTGTGTTTATAATAGCATACTAAGTGAGTTAAGTTAGACTGTTAGTAAGGAAGTTATCCATGAATCTTTGGTAACCACGAATCTAAAGCCTGCAATGGCAATAAGTACATACCTATCGATAATCACCCTAAATGGAAATGGTCTGAATGCACCAATCAAAAAACATAGAGTCACTGAATGGATAAAAAAACAAGACCCGTCTAATGCTGCCTATAAGAGACTCACTTCAAACCCAAAGACATACACAGACTGAAAGTAAAGGGATGGAAAAAAATATTTCATGCAACTAATAGGGAGAAAAAAGCAGGAGTTGCAGTACTTGTATCAGACAAAATAGACTTCAAAACAAAAAAAGTAACAAGAGACAAAGAGGGACATTACATAATGATAAAGGGGTCAGTCCAACAGGAGGATAGAACCATTATAAAGATCTATGCACCCAATATAGGAGCACCTACTTATGTGAAACAAATACTAACAGAATTGAAGGGGGAAATAGAATGCAATGCATTCATTCTAGGAGACTTCAGCACACCACTCACTCCAAAGAACAGATCAACCAGACAGAAAATAAGTAAGGAGACAGAGGCACTGAACAACACATTAGAACATATGGACCTAACAGACATCTACAGAACACTCCACCCAAAAGCAGCAGGATACACATTCTTCTCAAGTGCACATGGAACATTTTTAAGAATAGATCATATACTACTCCACAAAAAGAGCCTCAGTAAATTAAAAAAGATTGAAATTGTACCAACCAGCTTCTCAGACCACAAAGGTATGAAACTACAAATAAACTATGCAAAGAAAACAAAAGAGGCCACAAACACATGAAGGCTTAACAATGTGCTCCTAAATAATCAATGGATCAATGACCAAATAAAAACAGAGATCAAGAAATATATGGAGACAAATGACAACAATAACTCAACACCTCAAAATCTGTGGGACACAGTGAAGGCTGTGCTAAGAGGGAAGTACACTGTAATACAGGCTTACCTCAGGACAGAAGAACAATCCCATATGAATGGTCTAAACTCACAATTAATGAAACTAGAAAAGAAAAGCAAATGAGGCCCAAAATCAGTAGAATGAGGGACATAATAAAGATTAGGGCAGAAATAAATAAAATCAAGAAGAATAAAACAATAGAAAGAATCAATGAAAGCAGGAGCTGGTTCTTCGAGAAAATAAACAAAAGAGATAGACCCTTAGCCAGACTTATCAAGAAAAAAGAGTCTACACACATAAACAGAATCAGAAATGGGAAAGGAAAAATAACTACAGACACCACAGAAATACAAAGAATTATTGGAGAATATTATGAAAAACTATATGTTAACAAACTGGATAACCTAGAAGAAATGGACAATTTTCTAGAAAAATACAACCTTCCAAGGCTGACCCAGAAGAAACAGAAAATCTGAACAAATTACCAGCAACAAAATTGAATTGGTAATCAAAAAACTACCTAAGAACAAAATTCAGGGACCAGATGGTTTCACCACTGAATTTTATCAAACATTTAGTGAAGACTTAATACCCATCCTCCTTAAAGTTTCCCAAAAAGTAGAAGAGGAGGAAATACTTCCAAACTCATTCTATGAGGCCAGCATCACTCTAATACCAAAACCAGACAAAGACACTACACAAAAAGAAAATCACAGACTAATATCCTTGATGAACATAGATGCAAAAATACTCAACAAAATATTAGCAAATCAAATTAAAAAATACATCAAAAAGATCACCCATCATGATCAAGTAGGATTTATTCCAGGGTTGTAAGGGAAATCTTACAATATTTGAAAATCCATCAACATCATATACCACATCAACAAAAAGAAGGACAAAAACACATGATCATCTCCATAGATGCTGAAAGAGCATTTGACAAAATTCAACACCCATTCATGATAGAAACTCTCAACAAAATGGGATAGACGGAAAGTACCTCAACATAATAAAAGCCATATATGACAAACCCCTCAGCCAATCAGACAACACAAAAAAATAAAAGGCATCCAGATTGGTAAGGAAGAAGTTAAACTGTCTCTGTTTGTAGATGACATGATATTGTACATAAAAAACCTTAAAGAATCCAACCCCAAATCTAGTAGAACTAATAACTGAATTCAGCAAAGTTGCAGCATACAAAATCAAAATACAGAAATCTGTTGCATTCCTATATACTAACAATGAACTAGCAGAAAGAGAAATCAGGAAAACAATTCCATTCACAATTGCATCAAGAAGAATAAAATACTTAGGAATAAACCTAACCAAGGAAGTGAAAAACCTATACCCTGAGAACTATAATACACTCATGAGAGAAATTAAAGAAGATACCAAAATGGAAATATATCCCATGCTCATGGATAGGACACATTAATATTGTCAAAATGCAATCCCTATCAAAATACCAATGGCGTTCTTCAATGAACTAGAACAAATAGCTCTAAAATTCATATGGAACCACAAAAGACCCTGAATAGACAAATCAATCTCCTGAGAAGGAAGAATAAAGCTGGGGGGATTACACTCCCCGACTTCAAGCTCTACTACAAAGTCACAGTAATCAAGACAAATTGGCACTGGCACAAGAACAGATCCATAGATCAATGAAACAGAATAGAGAGCCCAGATATAAAATCCAAGCATATATGGTCAATTAATATATGATAAAGGAGCCATGGATATACAGTGGGGAAATGACAGCCTCTTCAACAACTAGTGTTGGCAAAACTGGACAGCTACATCTAAGAGAATGAAACTGGATTACTGTCTAACTCCATACACAAAAGTAAACTCAAAACAGATCAAAGACCTGAATGTAAATCGTGAAATCATAAAACTCTTCGAAAAAACCATAGGCAAAAATCTCTTGAATATAAACATGAGCAACTTTTTCCTGAACCCATCTCCTCGGGCAAGGGAAACAAAAGGAAAAATGAACAAATGGAACTACATCAAGCTAAAAAGCTTCTGTACAGCAAAGGACACTATTAGTAGAACAAAAAGGCATCCTACAGTATGGGAGAATATATTTGTAAATGACATATCAAACAAAGGGTTAACATCCAAAATATATAAAGAAATCACATATCTCAAAACCCAAAAAGCAAATAACCCTATTAAAAAATGGGCAGAAGCTCCGGCGGTCAGAGGCGGAGCCGGGGCGTGTTGCACCCCGGCTGGATTGGTAGGCCTCCCGCGGCGGGGTGCCTGTCGCGCTCCTGGGGCCCGCGGCGGCTGAGCCGGGTGGGACCGGGCGCAGTGCTGGTGGGAGGCCGCGACTGAGGAAGATGAAGATCCAGTTTCAGATGCAAGACTCACTGGGTGATCATTTCATTTAGATCATCTTGAATGACCAGGTGTAAAGTGCCAGAGGAATGTGCTATGACTGAGGCAACTCAAAATTTTTAAATTGCCAATCTCTGCTTCTTTTGATTCTGCAAAAGAAACTATATCTTCAATAGTTTCTGAAGCCCAGGAGTCCAGTAAATCATCAAACAGACTCATGAATGAAAAACAGCAGGAGGAAGCAGAATGGGAAAGCATAAATGTGCAGTTGATGACGCATGGCCTAAGACCCTTATCTCTAGTCAAAAGAACAGATCTTGAAGATCTCATCATTTTTGACAAACAGTCATCACAGAGAATGAGACAGAATTTGAAAACATTGATGGAAGGAACAGCACGTCAACAGAACATGATCCAGGAGCTCATAGAAACTAATCAGCAGCTTAAAAATGAAGTTCAGCTACAAGAAAGCTGAGCAGCAGATCAGGAACATCGAGCTAATGACTTGGAACAAATTATGAAGAGTGTGAAATCCAAAATTGGTGAATTGGAAGATGAATCCCTAAATAGGGCTTGCCAACAACTGAATAAAATAAAAGATCTTCACAAAGAACATAAAGCTTTACAGGCAAAACGTCAGCATTATAAGAAAAAAGGAATGGAACAGCAAGAGACTATTGCTTCTTTGCAAAAGGATATCTATAGATTAACAAAGGAGGAGGAGGAACACATTGTCACTCAAAACAGAGTGTTTGCTTATCTCTGCAAAAGAGTTCCTCATACCATCTCAGATAAACAGTTGCTTTGCCTAATTGATTACTATGAATCTAAAATAAGAAGATTTCATAAACAAAGGCAATGTAGAGAAGATGAAAGTCAGGCAGAAGAAGATGACTACAGGAGTTTGGATACGTCACCAAATTATAAAAGCCTGCTAATGTCATTACAGAATCAACTAAAGGAATCAAAATCCAAGATTGATGCACTTTTAAGTGAAAAACTGAATCTTCAAAAAGATTTGGAAGCCAGGCCCACACAGCATGAATTAAGACTTTATAAACAACAAGTGAAGAAACTGGAGAATGCCCTTAAGAAAAGCACCAAGTAATTATATTTTACCAAAGTTACAAATTTATTAGGGTTTTGCATTTTGTTATTTTTATGACCTGTCATCTTACTTCATGTTTGTCTCATAGTGAACTTGACTTAAAATTACCAGGCTGATGGGAAGAAATGACTTCAAAAAGAGACATTAAACTGATTCTATAGTTAAAAATAAAATGGGAAGAGGATATGAACAGACGGTTCTCCAAAAAAGAAATTCAGATGGCCAACAGGCACATGAAAAATTGCTCCACATCTCTAATTATCAGGGAAATGCAAATTAAGACCACAATGAGATATCACCTCACCAGTTAGGATGGCCAACATTGAAAAGACTAGGAACAACATATGTTGGTGAGGATGCAGAGAAAGGGGAACCCCCCTACACTGCTGATGGGAATGTAAATTAGTTCAACTATTGTGGAAAGAAATACGGAGGTTCCTCCAAAAACTAAAAATAGAAATACCATTTGACCCAGGAATTCCACTCCTAGGAATTTACCCAAAGAAAGCAAGATCTCAGATTCAAAAAGACAGATGCACCCCTACGTTTATTGCAGCACTATTTACAATAGCCAAGATATGCAAGCAACCTAAGTGTCCATCAGTAGATGAATGGATGAAGAAGAGGTAGTATATAAACACATTGGAATACTATTCAGCCATGAGAAGAAAATAAATCCTACCATTTGCAACAACATGGATGGAGCTAGAGGGTATTATGGTTAGTGAAATTAGCCAGGTGGAGAAAGATAAGAACCATATGATTTCCCTCATTTGTGGAGTATAACACTGAAGCAAAACTGAAGGAACAAAACAGCAGCAGACTCACAGACTCCAAGAAGGGGTTACCAGTTACCAAAGGGATGGGATTGGGGAGGGTGGGTGGGGAGGGAGGGAGAAGGGGGTTAAGGGGTATTATGATTGGCACCTATGGTGTGTGGGGGGGTCACAGGAAAAACAACATAGCATAGAGAAGACAAGTAGTGACTCTGTGGCATCTTACTACACTGATGGACAGTGACTTCAAGGGGTATGGAGGGGACTTGATAATATGGGTGAATGTAGTGAACACAATGTGTTTCATGTGAAACCTTCATAAGAGTGTATGTATATCAATGATACCTTAATAAAAAAAAGTGAACTGCACACTTTAAATGGGTAGATTATATCTCAATAAAGCTCTTAAGAAAATAGTTATTAAAACATGTAAGTATTATCCCAAGGCAGGTAACAAAGTAGTCACTGCTCAGAAAGTAAAGGAAAACAGGAAGTTGGAGGGCCCAGCCTAGACAGGCTGTGTGGTTGGGGAGATCCTGGGTGGACCAGGTGGTGGGGAGTATAAATAGTGGGGGCAGAGAGCAGAGGTGGGGGCCAGGGTCCAAATGGGGAATGAGTTACTGGAGAGTTTTGCCTGCTTCAGTTTTGTCAAAGGCCAGCCTTTGGATGATCTCTGAGAACAGGTTCCAGAGACTTAGGAGGAGAGTCAATGATGGCCACACCTGACCTTTGTGACACAGGCCCTAGAGGCCAGGGAGAACTGCCCCCAGAGAATAGCACCCCAGGCTCCCAAGGGAGGCAGCAACACCACCCCTTAGACAGAGTTCCAGAGGGTTTCACCAGCTGGGCCCACCACTCCTGCTGGGTGTGATAAGCCATCTTGGCTGGGGCTGGGCTGAGCCAGAGGACATCAGCATTAGGGGCAGCAAGGGGTCAGGAGAACCATAGTGGCAGGAAACCAGCTTGCAGAATCCCTGACTCAGGTTTAGGAGAACAAAAACCTGTAACAGAAGACCTCTGCTTGGGTGAAGGAGGACTGAAGGTAAGGCTCAGACAGAAATCTGGGCCAGAATGAATTTAGGGTGAGAGACACTGAGGACAGAAAGGGACGTATCCACCGCTTGGTGACTCTCTTCCTCTCTCCCAGGTCCCTTCATCGCTGAAGTGCCTTGTGAAACACAGTCCAGAGAAAGCCTTGTTGGTAAGAGCTCACAGCTCCAGAACTCCTTCAACTCCCAACCCATCCCAGGCCCCATGCTTCCAGCTCCCTCCTCCAACTCCATCCTGCCCTCCATCCTGCCTTCCTCCCTATTCCTCTCCTCCTCAGTTCTCACCTTCTCTGGAGCATTTTGTCAGCTCTTCTGATCCCACAGATAACATGGATTTTGAATCTTGATTAACCAGCCTGCATGACACATGAGGCAAAGCCAGAAATGGACTGACTTTCCCAATATTTTGGGCTTTGTTTCTTTCTCTACAGGTCCTAAGGGCTGTGTCTTCTTCCCTGGCTTACCCAGATAATTGCTGCTGCCCCTCAGCTTCCAAGAGGCAGCTCTGATTCTCCATCCCTCATTAACTGCTGACTGCAGAGGAGAGGCCAGCTTTAGACCTGAGCTCCTGCCTGAACACCCAGAGAGCCTGGGACTAGAGGGCTGGGTGGCTCCCTGGCCTGCCACCAACAGCAGCACCACTACCAGGCTGGAGCCACACTCCATGCACAGAAGGCCCTGATTTCTCAGCCACTTCTCGCCTCAGAGATACTGGTCCTGACTCTGTCAGGTCTCTTACTTCTGGTCTCACTTCCCAATTTGAGGCAATGTTGCCTCAGTACAAGGACCAGGTGCTGCTACAGAACACAGCACCCACTGGGTGCTCCCCTCAGGGCCCCTCACCACTTGTGAACTCCCTTCAGCCCAGCCCTCAGCCTCTGCCTCCCTATCAGTATAGGGACACTGAGTCCCCTGGGGTGGGAGGGGAATGCATTGCAAAAGAGAGGGATCCTTCAGAGTTCAGGGACCTGGGAGCCCTGGTGAAGGCCCTAGTTGCCCATCTGGGGCACCGTCGCATTGCATGCGACCTGTGGCTACTGTTTTTGCAGCATATATGGCTAGGCATTAATGGCAGGGCCCCAGTTGTGGAGTATCCTGTATGCCTGGTGTGTGTCCGGTCCTGTGGCCCCTCTTGCCCTGTCCCCAGTTATGGGACTGAACCCCGGCTGCTTGCCTTTCCTATGCATGGGGCCAGGAATGCAGGCCACTCCGCATAGGCATTGGCTTTGGCCTCCGTCTGTCTCGGGGCCAGGCCATAGACATGCATCTGTTGCCAGAAAGAAGGCCAGAGGAGGAAGGGCCTCAGGGCAAGGCCACTCAGGCCCATGGGTGTCAAATGCATGCATCTCAGTCCCCAGTGGTTCGAGCCTCAGTGGCTCAGACCAGGGCAGATCCAGCCCCAGGCACACCTTTCCAGACAGGGAGCCTCAGGTCTGTAAGCCCTCTCTCACCAAATTCCAGGCTTTTCAGGGCCTCCTCCTCAGGAACCAAAGGAGACCATGGTCTCCCTGAAGCCCAGGCCTTCCTCCGCCTGAAGAGGCCTGCTTCTCCAGAGTAGCCACCCTAGTTCCAGACCCAAGGAAGCTTCCTGGAGCACCTCCTCTGAACCCTACCATCTCTATTAGGCCCCAGGTCTCAGGGAGCCCTCGAGACACCGTGATGGGCTGGCTGACTGGAGGTCAGGCATGTTCTCCAGCCTTAATCCCTGGGAGCCCCTTATGGAGTCTTCTCTCTCCTAGCTAAAGAGGACCAGGGGCCCCTGGACTCCTGGGCCCCCATTCAGTGTATCGATAAAGCCTGACACTGTAAAACTTGTGGTTGTGTCCTGCTGAGCAGACACAGTGGGTGGCTGTACCTACAGAGGGCCAGAACCCAAAAAGGGGTCGGGGAGAGTCAGACAAAACACGCTGGCCAGAAAAAGTGGATGCCTTGTAACTGAGGAGGGCATGGGACCCACAAGGCCTGAGCACCTGAGATGTGCAGAAGGCTCTGCTAGTCCCTGCACACATTTAATTGCATTTGGTGGGGCAGATAATGGCATCCCCAAAGATGAAGCCACAGGGCCCCTTTCTCTGGGTACACCTTAGGTTAACGAGGATGCAACCTGACCCAGTCAGGGGAGTGATAGATGTCTCCTTGCAGGGAAGAGCATGCCTAGCCTTCAGTGGCAGAGAAACATCGGGTCTTTACATTGGAGGTCAGAAACCCAAAGGCCCCCACAGGTAGCTGGGATGTCAGGCAGACACAAGACCGGCCCTGCCTGGGAGCCAAGTTGCCTCCCGCTGATGGTGTCAGAGGGAAGCAGCCCCCACCCACAAACCCTCAGGAACAGGAGCCCATTCGTGGAGCTACGAGAATGGCCAACGTCCACCTCTGCCCACCACGGAGGACAGGTGTTTTATTAAGCTAAATAGTGGTTTCCTCATTAGTAAACGGTGGATTCGAGATTTGATGCCAGGATTGTTTTAAACGCCACGCAGCCTCTGTTAACAGACAAGAGTGTAGATCACTTCCTTTCTGGGGTAAATGTAAAGGCTGCGCTTAAGCGTGGACAGCCCTAATCCAAATATTTCTTTATTAAAGTTTTATTAACTACCCTCAACCTTCATTAGTTACCCTCCTCCTACAGCCACCATAGACCCACCCCGGGAGTGGTGGGAACGACCCTCCTCCGCCCCTCACAAAGATGGCGAGTCTGCCGCCACAAGTGGGCGGCGATCGGAATCCTGGGCCGTTTTTCCGTCACCCGGCAGCCGGTTTGTGCTGACGCGTGTTGGCGGCTCTGCGCCTGCGCGAGGAGAGCGGCGGGCAAGCGCACTGCGCGTCGGAAATCCTGGGTTAGACAGCTTGGAGCCGGGATACTCGTCCCTGCGTGTGGCTGGCGTTTTGGCCACCCTGAGGGTGTGAGGAGGGCTGGAGCTTCTCCCGGTGCCGACGGGACCAAGTTGAGCTGCAGCCGGGGCAGTAATCGAAGGCCGGGCGCGGCATGTCCCGCACGCCTCGGTGCGGACAGTGAAGCGCGCGGAGAACAAGATGGTTCGGCGCCGGGCACCTGAGGTGTATCGGGCCCCCTTCCCATTGTACGCACTTCAGGTCGACCCCAGCGCGGGGCTGCTCATCGCTGCGGGCGGAGGAGGCGCCGCCAAAACAGGCATAAAGAATGGCGTGGTGAGAACGCAAGACCACTGGGGCCGGGTCAGGCCACAGGCAGAGGGCGATTCCGGGGGGTAGCGGGGGAGGGCCGCACCCAGCTTCGGACCCTGCCCCTCCCGGGTGGGAAGCCCTGGCACGTCTGACCCCAGCACGGATTTCGGCGGCGAACTTAGCGGGCGATTGAGAGACTCCAGAGGGAAAGTGAAAACTGCACACAGCGCTGCTTAGACAGGAACGCTTCAGCTCGACCCAATACTCCCAGCCCTGCTTGTTGTACAAATTAGTGAGACTCAACAAAAAGGAAAAAAGGTTGGAGAAAGCTTTTTGAGTTAGGAAGTGCAGTAAGCTAAGGAGTAAGACATCTCATATTACAAAGGATGTAAGTTTGCCCTTGAGGTGCTCTCTGAACTTTGCTCACCCTGGTTTCCTTTCTCACAGCACTTTTTGCAGCTAGAGCAGATTAATGGTCGCCTGAGTGCCTCTTTGCTACACTCCCACGACACAGAGACACGGGCCACCATGAACTTGGCACTGGCTGGTAATATCCTTGCCGCAGGGCAGGATGCCCACTGTCAGCTCCTGTGCTTCCAGACTGATCAACAGAAGGGCAAAAACAAGGCAGAGAAGGCAGGTGAGAAGTCCCCTCTCTTGCTTTGGGAAAAGGGTTAAATAAGTAGGATCACTCTCACTGTCTCTAAAGAAGTGGGGCTGGAAATGGGGTTATAGTAGTAGCAGGCGAGAAGCTGGATGTTCACCGCTAGAGAGGGGGCCAGTACTACCTACTATGGAAACCTGGAACCTGGCAGACTGTTTGTGTTGCAGGTCCCAAGGAGCAGGGGCCTCGACAGAGGAAGGGGACAGCCCCAGCAGAGAAGAAGTCTGGAGCTGAAACCCACCAAGAGGGGGTAGAACTCCATGTAGAGAATTTGCAGGCGGTGCAGACAGACTTCAGCCCTGATCCACTGCAGAAAGTTGTATGCTTTAACCACGATAATACCCAGCTTGCCACTGGAGGGACGGATGGCTACATTCGTGTCTGGAAGGTGTGGTTTTTGGGGGGTTTGAAGATGAGTGTTAGTTAGTTAGTTAGCAAGGCCAGAATTCTGAGAAACTGAACATGAGTTCTGGGAAACTTGTGACTTATGATTGCAATGAATGGCCATTAGAAGAGAAGAGGTGTGGGGATCATTGTGCTCTTGCTGGGTTCCCAGGGTAACTCTGGTGGTGTTTTGGCTACAGGTACCAAGCCTAGAGAAAGTTCTGGAGTTCAAAGCCCACGAAGGGGAGATTGAGGACCTGGCTTTGGGTCCTGATGGCAAGGTGAGGAGGTGAGCGGGTGGAGAAGGTAGGGGGTTATGCTTCTTGTCCAGTAAGTGGATCCCCTAACCGTCCATCCTTGGAATCTTGATTCCTGACTAGTTGGTAACTGTGGGCTGGGACCTTAAGGCCTCCGTGTGGCAGAAGGATCAGCTGGTGACACAGCTGCACTGGCAAGAGAACGGACCTACCTTTTCTAACACGCCTTACCGCTACCAGGCCTGCAGGTGTGAAGACCCCAGAGGGTGGCTAAAAGAGGCACAGCCTAGATAATATGTGGTGGGGAAGTGGGAAAAAACTGAGGGGACACTGGGGAGGATCAAAGCCTTGGCAGGTGTTTCCCCAGGCCTGACCAGGGTGCAGAAGGGCACAAACCTGAGGAGCTGAACAGCCTCTCACCCGGTCTCCAGGTTTGGGCAAGTTCCCGACCAGCCTACCAAGCTGCGACTCTTCACGGTGCAGATTCCCCACAAGCGTTTACGCCAGCCCCCACCTTGCTACCTCACAGCCTGGGATGGCTCCACCTTCTTGCCGCTTCGGACCAAGTCCTGTGGCCATGAAGTCATATCCTGCCTTAGTGTCAGGTGTGAGACCAGTGGCTCCACTGGGTGTGGGTGGTGCCTTCAGGAACTCGGGAGGGTGCCCTGCCTGAGTCCCTGAGGTCCGTTTTTAGTGAATGAGTGTTGCTACACAAGCCTTCAGGACAATGAACACTTGATTGTTTGTTGCAGCGAATCAGGCACCTTCCTAGGTCTGGGCACAGTCACTGGCTCTGTTGCCATCTACATAGCTTTCTCTCTCCAGGTAATGGGTGGGGATGGTTACAACCCTGAGGGCTCTGAGGGGTGGGGTCTCTAGTCCTGCTTCTACCCCAAGGGTGCAGGAAGGAGTCTGGCTGAGCCAGTAGAGGGGGTAGGGGGCATGTTTTCCAGAAGGAATGTTTCCAACTGGGCTTTCCCTCAGTAGTTCTCCTTTGTCCCCAGCGCCTGTACTATGTGAAGGAGGCTCATGGCATTGTGGTGACAGATGTGGCCTTTCTACCTGAGAAGGGTCGTGGTCCAGAGCTCCTTGGACCTCATGAAACTGCCCTGTTCTCTGTGGCGGTGGACAGTCGTTGCCAGCTTCATCTACTGCCCTCACGGCGTGAGTCACTGGGGTGGAGGGTACCACCCTCCCTACCTTTAGCTATAGTAAAATCCTGCCCCCTGGAGAATGGGCCATCTGCCACCTGCTTGCATGGCTCTGTTCTTGAGGCTGCAAGCCTTTGCCCCTGACCGCGTCCCTTACCCTCCTGCAGGAAGTGTTCCTGTGTGGCTGCTACTCTTGCTATGTGTTGGGCTTATTGTTACGACCATCCTGCTGCTCCAGAGTGCCTTTCCAGGTTTTCTTTAGCCTCACTGCTCCAGGAATCAGGGACCTGGACACTCCCTCAGGCTAGACCAGAGCGGAAACCTGGACCCCACCTCTCACTCCATGTCGGTGCACAGGGCATGAGACTGATGGGCACTGCCTGTCCTTCCCTATCAGTTTGGCTGTGGCCCTGTGTGGTCCTGGGAACCCTGTATTCATCATCTGTGGACCCACCAGGACAATGGTGTCTAAAGTCCAGGACACACCGCCTGCCTCCTTCACTCTGCCTTCCTAGAGGCTCCAGAGTTGAGCTTCAGAAATAGGTGGAGATGCCCAAGAGCCGCGAGACACTGCTATCCTTCAGTTTCCCCCGGCATTTGCTGGGGCAAGCATTGGCCTGGGACTCGCTGTTAGGGAAGGAAGGGGCCAAAGGAAGACCTAGGCAGTAGGTTCAGCTGGGTAGTGACCAGCCAGCCTGGATGAATATGCAGTAAGTTCCTGAGTGGTTTACTTAGTTTTGAGGAAAGGATAAATGAACCTCAGCCCACTTGGCAGGAAAAGATGATATTTAATAAATGGGACAACTGAACTGAGACCCCAGAGGTGCTCCTGTCAGCTCATTTCTCCTCCAGAAGGTGAGGGAGCTCCGAGGCTAAGCAGCTAGGCTGGGTGGGGGAGCATGGCTTTGGCATAGTGATGGGAGAGGCAGCTTGTGTAGCTGTGCTGCCAGGGGAACAGCCCTTCCAGGAAACCAATGTGGCCCCCCCAGGCTGTGACAAGCAGGGCAACGTGAGGAGAGTGTTGGGCAGCCTGTAGGGGGAGGGCTGGGGCAGGGTTTGAAGAGATCAGGAGCCCTGGCCTTTGCTGGGAGCCCGGGCCCTCTACATTTGCACCTCATGGCCCACTTTCCCTAGGGCCTAAGGCATCCAGACTTGGTGTGCTCACCACTGACTGGGGAGAAGGGGTCATCAGCTGCACTGAGGCAGAGCACAGGGATCTGGATGGCATCTACCTTGGTTCTTGGGCTTGCTGCTTGGTAGTAGGCAACACAATCTTGATACCCAAAGGCCCCAGTTGTGTAGCACTCATCAAACTGGTGAACTGTGGGCCTGTGCATGGTGGGAGGTGAGATAGGCTAGGACAAAGACAGGGAGTACCAAGGTATTTGAAGGACAGTTTTGGATGAAGGGGGTGTTAAAGGACTATACCTGTGCACAGTCTACATTTACCACCTTTAACATCACCTTGGTATTTCTGCAGAAGAGCAGGCTGGGCTGTACTCCTGGCTTTGACCTAGAGCCAGCCCCTGAGTTATCTCATGAGTGAGAAAGCCCAGATAGAGAACTGACCCGAGCATAGACTGGCATGTCACCATCCTACCCTGTCTGCTGCCCCCTCCTACTTGCCAAGACCCTACTGGTCCACAACTTGGCAGAGCCCAACAGTGAGGCACTGGCTGAAGAGCAGTGAGTTAAGTGGGGTCTCCAGGGAGCAGGTGGTCTCAAAGGAATCCCAGCATGCCCAGAGTCAGTGCTGCTACCCCCCCGCAGCCTGCCCCATACATGCCAGGTAGTTCAGCACTGATATCCTGCAGATTGAACCAGGAGCCATCAAAGAACTGTTTGCATCAATGAGTGGGGACAGGAAAGGACATGGAGGAGGAAGGAAAGAAAGGTAGTCTGGGCCTTTGGGTTACCAGGCAGCCTTTACCCTCCAAAAGGGACTCCCAAAAGGCTAGCAGAGGAGCTTGGGAGCACTGGCACTGCATGTGGCTCACAGCTGTCTCCAGATCTTTGGTAGTGCTGGCACAAAAGCCCTGTGGGTCTGAGGCAAACCAGGTCATTGGGTAGGGAGGGAGGCCCTGGCCAGAAGGCAGAAAAATGGAAAAGAAAGATAGGAAGGTAGAGCTCTGGGCCAAGGGCCTCCAAAGGGAGTGGGGTCAAGGGCTCTGATGAGGAAGGAGGGTACTCACCACAGCTCTTCCCCACAGCAGCCCCAGTTAAATACGACAGCACTGTGGCACACACAGGTAGTCATAGCCAGACCCTCCCTAAAAGCCCTTCTCCCCCTTTTGGTGGCCTTCAGAAAGACCCCAGTCAAAAGGTCCCCTTCATAGAGCATTTTCTCCTCATAGCTATTAGGGTCTGAATTGATGTCCCTATTATAAATTCTCAGACACCGTCCAGTTCCTGTGGGCTGTGCCCATCTTTACCTGTAATCATCCCTTAAAGCTTGGTTAACCAGGTGCAAGATACATGTCTCCCAGCTACTGCCTGTGATACCCGGAAGCAGTAATACGATGGGCCGGTGGCAGGGTCAGGGTATTGACTGCTGTCACACTGACCAGCCCAGTCTAGCAGGAGCTGTCCTCCATCTGGTGTTTGGAGGACTTCACTGTGGTTTTGGAGAAAAGGGCACACAAGGATATTACTAGAAACTATGTTCTTCAAAAGGTTTACGCATCCTCATCCCCAGACAACTCCCACAACTTCCCGTCGTCATATGAGGGCATGCATTATGCTAAACATTAAGACCATAAAGCAGGGTATAATGGGGACATAAAAAATTAAATATTACCTCATGGTTGTACAATTAAACAGCCCTTCCATATAACTACTCGTTACCCTCACCACACTGAGGTAGATGGGACAAAGATTACTTTCCGTTTAAAAGAGGGAGACAGGATTCCCCTGTATTTGCAGCTTCAGTGTACTGCCTTCTGTCCTTATGTCCAGTAAGGGACTAGAGGCCGAGACTGCAGTAAGACCTAGAAGATGCTTTGTAGCTGCCCCTTGAAACACCATAATGTAGGGTAGGAAGTCTCCACAGTGACTGTTGCTCGAGGAAGGCCAGACACCAGGACCCAGTCACCACTTGACGCCTCACGCAACACGAAGTACCTCACTCTCCTGATTTTTGCATCAAGCCAGTGAGGCTCCCAGTGCCAGAGTGACCCCTCTGCAGAGGCCAGCCTAAAAAGCACTGCTCGGTCTGGCGGGGAGAAATCTAGCATACCTCCTGGAACGGCCAAGTCACCTCTGTTAACAGACTCCAGTTACAGCCCCGAAGAACTCCAGTCCTGCACTGTCACCTCTCCAGCCCTGACCCCGAACTGACTCTGAACCAGAACTGGAAGCTGCTGCAGCTGACTGGGTGCTAACTCCCCTACTCTGCCTATCCATGCCCCAGACTCATTTTGGAGAATGTGAAATAAATTAAATTGCCCAGCTGATGACCTGCAGGAAGGGTTGGGATCCTGGACAGCCTGAAGAAATGGGGCTCCATTCAATGGTGACTTTGGCCTCCTAGTCACAGTCATCTTCCCATTGCCAAAACTAGCTCTGGCAGCACTCATTCCTCCTGATTTTAGCACTCCACCATTCCTAGGCCCTGCTGTGTGTGTTCACTGAAGGGCTTTTTCTACCACGGCACTTCCTTTTCTTTCTTGTGAGACCTCTGCTGTTCGACCATGCTCTAAAAGAGATAGAGTCCCAATGTGAACAGAATTTTTTCCTTCATGCCAGCCAGGCAGAAGGTAATAGGGATGGGGTGATGGACAGATGATGTCTGTGGGCACTCAGCCGTGACTTTCAATCCCTCTGTTTGGTTCTTCTGGATTGACATCAAGTGAATGAGAGGGCCTAGCCACACTGAAGGCTTATGAAGCAGTATGTTGTACAGAGCCAAAAGACCCATGCATTTCTGTCACAGGCCCCAAAGAACCTAAGGCCCAGATTTCCTGTCTCTTCTGCAGTGTCCGTGCTCTAAAGGGGCTAGGTAAATTGTGAACCAGAAAGGCCAAGTTGATAGTCTGACTGTTGTGAGCTGAGATTTATTCCTGGGTCCCTAAGCCCTAGAATGGTAACACCTGAAATTCATTGTGTGCCATATGCAGGTACTAGGCCAAGCCCAAATTTATGAGATAGGATATTCTATAAGTGAGGAAACTGACTCACAGAGGTTTGCCAAAGTCACACAGCAAGCCGGAGGCAAAACAGAATTAGTAATTGTGATATTACCACTAATACCAGCAGGTAAAATGTGAGTGCTCCTTATGTCCCAAGCATTGTGCTAAGCACTTTATATGACATCCTATGGTCTTCACAACATCTTTTTGAGAGAGGTACTATGATCCCCCTGTGGGAACAGGTTTGAATGTTGAGTAGCTTTGATCAAAGGTCATGAAGCTTGCCAAGGCTAGTTAGGGGTGGAGTTGGGATTCAAACCCAGGTCCATCTGACTCTAGAACTTGTGTTCTGAGCTGTACTACACTGCATCCTAATTACCAAGATTTTGAGTTATCAATTTATTAAGTCCTTGGTCAAACGCTCAGCAATGTAGAGCAATGCTAATAAGTTAGGTCATGGGTTTGATTTTTGTGTGTTTCAACTCTAGTGAAGTGTTTCTTAAGAATTAGTAATATGCCATTGGTCACTGTGGATGAATCATTTATTATCTATCCATTACCATGCCAGATAACCCAAACTTCATGTCCTTAGGAGCTCCAGAATGGCACTTTTCCTGCATTTTAATCAGTATTTGGAAGTCAAGGATGAGTTTGGAATATAAACTGGCAGACATCTCTGACTTTTGTGTGTCTCATTTGCAAGCAAAGGAAAATGTTCAGTTAAGGATAGCTCTTGTCTGAAATAACTAACTTTCCAGACATACAGTTAAGACTTACAGGGTATTGTGAGGTTTGGATTTTCAACTGTATTATTAAGGCAGACTTATTTTATAAACAATATATACGAATGTAGAAAGCTCTGAAAATACAGAAAAGTCTGGGTAACATTAAAAACCCTACAGATCTTTTTAAAGGGCTTTAATCAATAGGTTTCTTGTTCAAGTCAGCTACCTATGACAGAGTTTAATGAAGAGTAAAAGGTTTAAGTATTTTTCTAGATATGTAAATTATGTGTTTAATGTAAATTTCACTGACATTAAAATCTCCAAGTTCATCAAAATCAACCTCATCAGACTATGCCATTGCACAATACATGGAGGGCCTAACTTAAAACAGGGCTGAATGAGCAAGGACAGTTCTGGTTATCTATTAGACCTCAGCTAGGCAGGGAACCTCTGCTAGCCCTCAAAAAAAGAAAGGACCTACTAAGCTGATGGGAAGGTGTTGGGAGCTAGCCACAACCCTACAGGCCGTCGGTTCCTTCATTCAGTGCAGCTACTGAGAAAACCAGACTGCCTGAAAAGGAAGGCATAGCTGCATTATCTCCCTGACACCTCAGGATGCCATCCACTCCGCCTTTCTCCAAATGTTTCCACATCATAGGAAGCAGCACCTCTCCGAAGCCCAAAGGGCTAAGCTAGCATGGGGAGCACGCGGGATGCAGAGAGTCTAGGTAAGCAAAGAACCAACTCTCCATTAGGTAACATCAGCAAAGCGGAGCTGGCTGGAGCGCAGGGCAGGGGTGGTGGAAGAGTTGGGGCGGCAAATCTCACCTGGGGCGGGAAGCCCAACCATGCCAGCTCCTACAAAGGGCTCGAACCCCGAGCTGGAAGCTGCTGCCTAGACCCGAGTTCCCAAACCCGCCGCCAGAGCTCCGGACTCGCACCCACCTGGGGCACACGTGCCCAGTAGTAGCCCAAGTAGAGGGCAGCGCCAAGACCCAAAAGCAGAGAGGTCTCTGTCCGGGTGCCATTCTGAGGCGCCTGAATGGTGCTCACTCAGGAAGGAGCTCGGCATCTTGTGTCACTGGATTCCGACCCCCAAGTTCTTGACTGACTCTAGTGCCAGATTTAAGACTAGTCGGTCCGCAGATGCGAACCGGGCCCCGCCCATTACACGCCATTGGCCGGCCTGTGCAAGTCCCACCTCCACTGCCCGGCGGTTGGGGTACCCGGGCCCCGCCCACCACGGTGCGCGCGGCTGGCTTGGCGAGGGGCGGTGCCAGGACGTCGCAGGGGGTGGGCGCCCTACTCCCTACGTGGAGGTAACCCGAGTGACTTGCAAGTGTCTCCCGGCGCGAGGTCCGGATCTCGCGCCTCTGTGCCTCCTGCTTCCTCCTCGCGGTCACTAGCGGTGCAGGACTAGGGACCTCCCCATAGCCGCCATCTTGGTGAGTGAGGGTCATCTGCACCTGCTGCTGCTTCAAATTCCGCCCTGGCCAGGGCGAGTCAGGCAGCCTATTCAGAGACCCCAGCCACTCCTTTGGTGACAGTCTGCCCTGTCACACAAAGTAATCATTCACAGTGACCTTCACACTCAGGACATGGCCACTCACATGCAGTCCCAGTGTTCAGCCATTCACAGTAGACCTCACACACTGCAAACATTCACACTGTGACACACCACAGTGTCACATGGTCAGGTTTCAGCTCTCGAGTGGCAGACATTACACACAGTCACATAGGTTAAAGTCACCCATACAGTGTCATTACAATGTCTCATGCATTCCCTCTCAAGTAAATACAACAGGTATTACTCACCACACACTGTACCAGGCACTGAGATACCCCAGGGGTGCTTTTCCCTGTCTTTATTGGGATATGAAAACAATCTACAGGGAGCAATGGCTCTCAACTTTGAAGATTAATCATCCGGGTGTTTTAAAAACTACCAGTACCCAGGCTTCACACCTTTGGAGAGGAGCCTAGATATCAATTTAACTTAGAAGTTCTCTGGAATATTCAAATGTGTAGTCAGGTTGAACCTAGCACCTGGTACTGGATTAGAAAAGTACTAGCTGTAGTGGGAGCACTGAGAGGGCTGCCCAAACTCCCATGTAGTGGAAGTGTAGCCAGATGTTAAATGATGATACATTTAAAGTGGAACCAAAAAATGAGTAAGAGTTTCCTAGACAAGGGGAAGACAGGGACAGAATAGTTGTTCCAGAAGAGGAAAAACATAAGTAAAAGCCTTCATGTGAGAGACTTCTTAAAGGAACCAAGAAATTTGGTGGGCTGGAGCATATGAGATTGTGAGCATCTATTCAAAGGATGTTAGAGGTTTTCCTAAGGGTTTCCTAAGCTCTTTCCTAAAGAGCTCAAGCCCTGAGCAGGAAGCTACTATCAAAGAGTTTTAGGAAGGGGTGGGTGACATAATCATAGTTATGTTTTAGAAGAATCATTCAGGCTACCTGGAGAATAGATTGGAGGATGAGAATGAAAGCACAGAGGTCAATTATGCTGTTAACAGAACTTTGCTCAGATAATGGCTGTGTGAACTGAGGGAAGCTTGGGAGAGGAGTCACCTTTAAGATAGGAGACAGAATAGGACTTGGTTGGAGGGTGGAGGTGGTGGGAGAAAGAGGAATCATGGATGACATCCAGGTTTCTGACTGCATAGATACAGGGGTACATGGCTGTGCCTGTCCCTCAGACAGGGAAACTGTGGGAGGGTGAGGTTTGAGGAAGCTGATACGTTCTGACTCAGATACGTAGAGGTTGGGACGCTGGTAGTTGTTGTAATTGTGTTTTCTTAGATTCAGTATTTGTCTCTTCGGTGTCCATTGATCACAAGGCCAAACTAACAACCAAAGTTGCTTCCATCTCCTCTGCTATCCAGAGCCCATACTCTGAATCACCTCCTTTATCTAACTCTCACACACCAAGCCAATGTTTCCCCTGTGCTATATCAACCCAGGGCCAGGTACCAGACAACTCGGGACAGCCCATATTCTCAAAGCCTGCCAGAATTATTCAAACTACCCAATCCTAAACTGTTTGCCCTGCCCTGCCTCACCCTTCCTGCTTAATGAAGGCTGTGGCCTTTGCCTTCCCCTTGGTCCTTTTCTGCCTTCTGACCTACACTAGTGCTTACCACTATCGTCCTGGGTGGTGAGCTGTGCCTCTCGTTTCTAGGGAAACTGTAACATCAAACATTTTTTTTCCAATGGCATTGGCCTCTCCATGTTGTCATGCAGTTACCTTTATAGATTAATATCTGCACACAAATTAGTAGGATGTTCAATTCCTGAAGTGGCCTGGGCTTAGAGATGGAATTTGAGATTTGGTAGTCATCAGCATTTAGATCATGTATTAGTTTGTGAGGTTGCTATAACAAAACTCTGCTAACTGGGTGTCTTAAACAACAGAAATTAATTGTTTCACAGTTCTAGAGACCAGAAGTCCCAGATCAAGATGTCAACAGGATTGGTTCCTTCTGAGAGCTGTGAGGAAGAATCTGTTCCACGCCTCTCCTCTGGCTTCCAGTGGTGTGCTAGCCATCTCTAGCACTTCTTGATATGTAGCAGCTCCACTCCAGTCTCTGCATCTTCACGTGCTGTTCTCCCTGTGTGTGAGTTTGTCCAGATTTCCCCTTTTTATGTGGACACGAGTCATATTGGATTATGGGGCCTGGCCTACTCCAGTATGACCTCCTTTTCACTAATTATGTATGCAACAATCCTATTTCCAAATACAGTCACATACTGAGGTATTGGAAGCTAGGACTTCAACATACGACTTTCTGAGGGCCACAATTCAACCCATAACAGAAAGTGATGGAAGCTACATGAACACATGATCACATGAGGAGCGATCCCAGAGGAATTCTGACATATGAGAAAACTAAAAAGAAATTACTAGATATGGTGTTTCCAAATCAATGAATACCATGCTCCAAGGAGGCAGTGTCCAGCAGAGTCCCCCTTAGGAAGGAGGACGGGGTGACCTTGATGAGAGTGGGTTTGTTATTGTGATAGAAGCTGATGTGGATTCGAGAGAGATAAAAAGTCATTCATTCACTTGGGCCAGAGGATGAGGATGTATTCCGGAGCCAAGGTGGAGGAACTGGGCACTGTGACAAAAGTAGGCAACACTCCATTTTGCCAACACACCGCAATACTCTGTGCGGGCAAACAACTGCCACCATCATCACCCTTAGGTCGATGCCTTTCCCAGGCACCCCACAACCATGTCTCATCTGGAACCACTTCTCAGCAATGGGCACAGTTGTCACACAGTGACACCTTAGCTAGAAACCAGTAGTCACAGCTGTCACCTGAGCATCACAAACAGCTCAGGAAGAGCTCACCTAGGTACCCTATCACACATATGAAATGCCCTACTGTGTCACAAGTCCCTCATACACACAGCCGCATATGGCCACAATCACACACACACACACACACACACAGGTTGTCTATCTTGTCACACACATCTGGGTTCCTGCAGGCAGTGGCACCCACAGCATTACCACAGTTAAACTTCTCACACACAACCTCACCATCTGTCTGTCCCTGCCTCTCTAGTCGTCTGTCTCGTTCACGCGCCCGCTCGCACACACGCGCTCGCGGGAGCGCAGGGAGAAGCCCACGTGAAGCCCGCGGAGGGCCGGGGTGACCGGGCGGGCCGGACCGGGCTGGCAGGACAGGGCGGGCGGCGGCCCTGCCAGCGGCGGGCGCTCCGGACTCTGCCCGGGCCAGGGCGGCGTCTGCCGCCGGGAGGGCGACGTGGAGCGGCCACGTGGAGCGGCCCGGGGGAGGGCCGGGCGGCGGCGGCGGCGAGCCGAGGCGCGGGCGGCGCGCAGCCGGGAGCGACGACGGACAGACGGCGCCGGAGCCCGGCCGCTCGCCGCACCGCCGCAGGTGGGTCCGCGCTCCACGCCGGGCGCGGGGGCCGCCGGGGCCGCCCAGCACGGCCAGCAGGGATCGCCGCGCCGCGGGCGGACCGCGGGGCCGAGGTGGCCTCCAGGTCCGAGTCGGGATGCTGGCGGCGCAGTCGCTCCGCATCCCCCGCGGCTCGGGCGCGGCGACAGCGGCGCCCGACGCCTCTGGGTCCGTCTTCGGAGGGGGCGAGCCCTGAGCGCAGGTGGAGGAAGGGCTGGAAAGCGCATCCGGAACTCCCACCTCCCAGTTCCCCCCGCGCTTTTCCCTGCGTGTCTCATTTGCCGCTCCCACAGCCCGGGGGGCTCGGGGGAGGCCGGCAGGAGCTTACCCTCATTTGACATAAAAAAGAGGGGGGCTGGAGCCGGGCCCGCGGTGACCACCGGCTGGAAGTGGCGGCCCAGAGGCCCCCTTTGGCCATCGCCGTTGCTGCTTCTCTTGGAGGCTGCTGGGAGGCACGGGGCACCAGAATGGTAAATTAAGGGACAGGATTCAATTCAAAATAACTTCCGGACGGTTAGACTCCATCAGAAATGGAATGGACGCCCTGTGAGGGACCAGACTCCTATTCTGGGAAGTCAAGAGGAGGCTGAATAGCCATTGACAGGGATGCTGTGGGAGAAATTTTTGCACTGGATGAAGTTATGCAAGATAAAAGGTTCTTGCCACATCCTAAGGTCTCTGAAACACTCAAGGAGCATCTCTATCTGCTGCTGCCAGCCACTTAACCCACACTATACCATTGCATCATCACCAAACCCCTGCAAGATAAATACTGTCATTCCAGGGCTCAGAGAGGTCGAGACATCTGCCTCACTCACACAGTGAGCACTGTAAGAGGCAGGATTTGATCAGAGGTCTAACCCCAAGTCTGGGGTCTCCTCCCATGCCTGGTGCCCTTGAAGAAATCTGAGGTCAGAGGGTCATTGTGAATGTGTGTGTAGGATGTGAATAACTTTATTGAATTATATCACAACTGTTGATTAAGAGTTCTGGTGGCTTTCCTATGAGTAGGGTCAATTATGTTTATGTGCATTATACTTCTAAGAAATGATTATGAACCTTTTTACTAGACAGTGGTTCAATAACCATTTTACTTCTGTTGCTTACAAAAGCTTTTGTAAATGTTTAGCAGTGTGTAAGTGTGAGCAAATAATACCTCACCAACCTCATTAAGTGCTAATGAGGAGCTTTAGTCTGACTTCTTTTAAGTAATAGAGGTGGGCTACCTGTCCTAAAATTGT